TTCCAGATTTCAGGGATCTTTTGCTCTCCAACGACGCGACGCGACGTGACGGAGACTGACGGGATGACGTTGCGCCGTCCGCGCGTGTGCGCGTCGCCGGCCGTCAACGTCATACGTCGACGTCGACGTCGAGGACGTGCCGTGCGTGCGTTGCGTGCGCCGGCCACTATTTCGGGCACCGAAGCGAACCGCCTCGCTGCGCCGCGGGACCCCTTCAAACAAGTCCCATTAACATTTCCGAAACAATGCGCCTTGCATTACTGCAGCCATGCATATGTCATTTATCTTGTCATTGCTTGTTTCAGCGCTGTTGCCTGCTCACCGCGGGCGACTTGTAAGTTTTCGTCCGGGGAACAGAGGAACTTGCTCGAAGAAAAACGTATCGCAATCCCAAATGGACGGAGTTAAACAGAAAGGAACCAAGCCACATCGAGATCGAACCGAGAAAAAGAGGTTTAAAGTTTGGCTCCTGCATAAGACTCAATGTAAAAGATAAACTTCAAGTTCAATTTCTGCAAAATTTGCTCCAACAAAATCTTTGAATTTTTGGCGATAGATAGTAGAGCAGTGGTTGAGTTCAAAATCACTCATAACTCAATTTTTTCCAAAATGTGGGTTGGTTCCTTTCTGCTTAACTCAGTCCAAATGTACTCCTAAATGATTTCGGCGCTAAATACGGATTGCATTTTGCAAAAAGGAACCACTAGCATTGTAATGATGCTAAGATTGTGCAACTTCATCTTTTGCAAAAAAGTTGCGGAAATCGTGAAAAACTATGAAATTTAGATGGTGATTTTTGTCTTAAATTTACAGTTTTTAGCGAGTAAAATAGAAACTGTTTATGGATAATCGGGTTTTTCCTCCAAGACAAAAGAAGTTGCACAATTATAGCAACATTGCAATGCTAGTGGTTCCTTTTTGCAAAATGCAATCCATATAAGAGTAGTTGCATCACTCAGAGGCGCACGGGTGAGTGCGCTGAAAATGAGGTTGAATCAGCCATACCTCGTCAACTTGCGGCTAAAGTATCACAAGTGCCATGCGACGTTTTCAAATTTCCGCTGCCATTTTATTTTTTTACAGAGAAATCGTTGGTTCAATTTGTTTGAAAAGTTCACTGAATTTTATCGGCAGCACAAAGAAAATTCAGTAAAATTTTCGGACTGCTTCGTTGAACAGTTTCTCTGGAAAAAATGAAATGGCGGCGGAAATTTTGAAACGTCGCATGGCCCTTGAGATACATTGGCCGGAAGGCGATGACCTCTGGCTAGTGCAACTACTCCTATATCTGGTGCCAAACCAGCCAGGTGTATAGTTGGGATCGTGATATTTTTTTCAGTGTTTCCACTGTGAGAAAATGAGTGTATATGGCAGAGCAGGGCACGTAACGAAAGTAAAGTATCGATTATCTGCGATAAAATTATCTATGCTAGGATCATTCTTGATAGGAATTTCCATAAGAGGATAATCCACCGTGAGCCGATTCACGATGGAATCATTTATAGTGATATTATGAACTGTAAGATCATCCAAAATATAGATCCACCCGTAGTAGAATAATTTGCAGTGGAATTATCTACGATAGGAATATAGGATTATAAAAAGCAGACCTGCCTGCATAAGGTGCAAAAATATGGAACCGTTTTTTTAAAAAAAAATTACACATTTTTTAGCCGCCTCTCAAGCGCTCTAAAGGGCGCACAGGTAATAATGGTATTTTGGCAAAATTAGTGACAAGTCGAAGAACCACAATCCCTGGACTGCCGTCCACTCTAGGAAGAGAGACCAGTCCTCGTCGATCCTCTGAGCAACGGAGAAAAACTGCCAAACCTTGAATTTGTAGAGAATCACATGGGAAATTCAAAGGGGCAGCAGGGCGGGGGTTACATAGATGATTTTTTCTGTAAAGTGGGCGTATATTAAATGTACCAGAGATATAAAGCAGCATGCCGGAGGTCCCATTCAACAATCATTTTGTCGGCAATGACAGTGTTTTGGGACGTCACAGAACAATTGGACCGCGTTAGACAGAAAGGAACCAAACCACATCAGCTATTGCCAAATTTAATTGGGCAATTTAATTTTTAACATTAAAACGATTGCGGTTATTTTCGTGCAAATTTCAGTGAAAAATCTCCATAGTTTGAAGCAAATTCTTCAAAAATTTCAAAGAAATCCGCACAAACGTTCTCTCGTAACAAATTTAATTGCCCGGTTAAATTCGGCAATAGCTGATGTGGCTTGGTTCCTTTCTGTTAAACTCGGTCCAATTGGAGCCTAATTTTGCATGATTAAACATAACTAAATTTTATTGAAATTCACTGACTGATTGTGAATGGCATGCCTTCTTTTGGCTCCCCTCTTGAATCCTGAGTTTTTGGCGAACAACGTGCAGTCATATTTTAATGATATTTTCATTAACCCTTAGATACTGAAGCCCGGTCAAATTGACAGGAGACTTGTTTGAAAAACGTGCCACGCGAGTTGGAAGGGACCGTGGTACATACGAGCCGTAGATGAAGGTCTGTAAATATTTGCACATTAAAAAAAGAATCAGACTTCAAATTGAAAAAAGAAGAAAAAATTGAGGAACAACAGAGTCGATACGTATCGAGTCTAGTTTTTTAAATTTTTCTCTCGAATCTGGACACCTCACCGGCAGCATAGTACGGAGCATTGCAAATTCACGCCCAGCGCCATCGCGCCTTCAATTTTGCAAGTGAAACACGGACATCCATCATGTACGAATAGTTGTATCTCTGCGCCGTCATCAACGCGCCACTTTTTACTTTGCTCTATTTTCATACTGTGTTTGTTTCAGTTTGTCTTACTTGTAATTGTAGCGGTGCTTTAAAGACTGTATGAGCAACACAGCTGTAAAAAGGAGAGCCGTAATAATCGAGCCTCGTATCTTAATTTTCTTACGACACCTCATTGGCAGCATAAAGCGGAGCAGCGGAACTCGGAACAACGCGAATTCACAGCTCGCGCCATCGCGCCTTCAATTTTGCAGATGCAACACAGACATCCATCAAGCACGAATAGTTGTATCCTTGCGCTGCCTTCCCATTTGCTCAATTTCCACGTTGTGTTAGTTTCGTTTGTCTCATTTGTAGTAGTGCTTCAAGGACTGCGTGAGCAACACAGCCGAATATAGGATGTGCCTTAATCAATTATCATTTTGAAATGAAAAAAAATGTTAGAGGTCTCTCAAGCTATCAAAAGGGCGCACCTGTAAAAATTGACTGTACTACCTCTTCTGTGAGAGAGACCTGTGGCGGATGAGGAAGGGGAATGATAAAGCGTCTCTATGTTACCAAAAGGAGAAAATTTCGAAGAAAATAATGTTTTACCGATTATATATATTTATATCTAATTTTGTTTTTGCTCTTTCTTGAGGGAGTTGCCATTTTCAATTCTCGTGTTTCCTCCCTCCCCCTGGGGAAAAACTGGAAAGCACCTCCCAGAGTTTCCCCTTTGATGTGAGGAAGAACGCCGAAAATATAATATTCCTTTTTTTACCTTCCCATTTTACCTTTTACCCTTCGAAAGTAAGAGCGGCAAATCTGTAATGGGAATAATGACTGAAGCAAAATAAAAATAAAAAATTTAAAATAAAACCCAGAAAATAAAAGCAAACTTAAGAAATATCAGTACGCCAATTTACTGACCACATCATTGTGTTAGATATTTTCGATTGCATTCGATGGTTATTATGTATAAAAAGGATATAGCCGCAATTTCGAACGTTTAAGGTATAGCGGTCCTTTTAAATTTTTAACACTTGAAAAGAGCGGCAAATTCAAACTACCCAATCAGCTTCTGATCAAATGAAATCAGTTCATTGAAATACGTTGGCGCTTAAGATTAGTTGCTCGCCCTTCCCCCTCTCTGCGATCAATCTCTATATTTTCTCAGCGACGCGGACGCGACACACGCGCCAAAACAGCATTATTCTCAACTCTCAAAAACGATGTTGGATCGAGCAACCGACATGAGATAAAAACGGTCGCAGTTTCTAGGTACTCTAGTAGTTTCCAGGTATCTCTCGGTTTAATCAACGCAGGAGCAGGGGTCGAATTTTGCCAGTCCTTCCACCATACTTAAATATACTTAGGACGAGTCTCGACTGCACTTAAGTCCGGTTTAGCGCCTCTGATTGGCCTGTGGTGCGGTTTGAACTCATCGATGGATGTTTCACACCGTGTGAAAAAGCCGACAAAATTCGGCCCCAGGAGCACGCCAAACGCGTGCGGAGGGGATGCAGAATGCGTAAGGAGATGGCTTCATCCATTCGAGAACTGGAGTGCAACTCTGCCGTGCTAAGGAAGAACGCCGTATGAACATTCGAGGGTTGCCAAATTTCCTTCAATAAAATGTTTTATTTTTAGGAAAGTTATGATTACTTTTCCTTGACATTTTTAGGGACTTCGTGTGAAATTGCGAACAAAATTACCTGAAAAATTGGAAGAAAAGTATTCATATATTTACCAGGAACTTAATGTTTTATCAAAGGAAATCTGGCAACGCTGAAGGTTCATACGGCGTTTTTTCCTCGCAAGGCAGAACTGTCTCCCCGGTGCGCCGCGCCGTTGCTGACTGTGTACCGCGGGTTGCGGGAAACCACTCGACGCAGGAACTTCGATCCCCCTTAGTATGTACACACGAGCCGAGAAATCAGACTTCCTGTGATAAAAATGCTGATACATACAAATGTTATCTCGCAGGTCCAGCCAGCACTGTTGAAAGTGCGATTCTCGACGGTCAGCGCTGCTTGCTTCTATAATTTCAGCCTCAGCTCCGCGTTCCATTCCGTCTGACTCAGTGGCGTGGCGTGAATAATCGATTATCGGTATCTCGCCATTTGAAGCTATGGTAAAGAATCGATTACTAGGGTATTCGCTGCGAACACTCCGATAATCGATCTTTTTTCATAGGTTTAAATGGCATAACAATCGATATATCGCAATTCACGCCACGCCACTGGTCCAACCACGACGCAAAGCGACTGATTGTCGGTCCTCAGTCTGTGGCTTGTTCACTATCGTGGAAGGTGATGCTATACTTATTCTTAGATTCTCTCGAGTTTCTCAAATCCCTAAGTTTGTGTGTCCTCGCTCTTCGAGAGGTGAAAGTGAAAAGTACGCGGCTGTAGGTAAGTCAATGTGTTCACGAGTGGAAATCATGTTTTGAGGGAAAACGGCTGCACTCGAATTGGGCCCGGGTGAAAGTTCATCACCGGTAGCCACACGATTTTGGTCCGGGGTGATTAATGCTCTAATATGAATTGGGTCATATGAACTGCGCGATGAGCGATTCGGCTCGCTGTGCGGCGTGGTTGTCGTTTCACCGGAAAAAAAATCTCGGTGTATTTACCAAGAAAAGGGTAAAATTACCAAGAATTCAGGGTTCTATTTGTACCGCGTTAAACAGAAAGGAACCAAGCCACATCAGCTATTGCCAAATTTAATCGGCTAATTAAATTTTGTACATGAAAACAGTTGTGCGGATTTTCGTGCAAATTTCAGTGAATTTTCGCCATAGTACGAAGCAAATTCCTTAACATTTTCCAAGGGATCCGCACAAACGTTTTCTCGTAAAAAATTAAATTGCCCAGTATTTTAATAGCTGATGTGGCTTGCTTCCTTTCTGTTAAACGCGGTCCATTTGATCCCAGTTTTTTCTTGGTAAAATTACCGATTTGTGGAATTGATAATTTTACCGAGAAATCTCGGTCAAATTATTGAACTCTCTCGGTAATTTTACTGGACCTTGGTAAAAACGCCAATATTTTTTATCGACTGTGGTAGTATTTCGCCGAGATGAAATGGCAAAGTTACCGGGAATTGATTACCAAAAAAAGGTGGTATTCTTACCTGGAAAAAACAGTAAAGATACAGGTTTTTAGGTAAGCTTACCAGTCTGTCTTGGTAAAATTACCAATAATTGGTAAAAAAAGTGAGATGGTAAAGGTACCAACGGATTTTGGTAAAAACGCTGAGAATTTTTATAGTGCATAGGTATGCACCGCATTGTGCGAGCCGAAAATCCCCTCTTATATGGGGAAAGTTCACGTCACGCAAAATGTGATATAAAGGTTTTGTACCGGCAAAACATGAGTAACTCTTTGAAAAGAAGAGACGCTGCTCGGCGTGCAAACAGAAACTTATGTCTTACGCAGTGATACCGCATCAAAGAGAAAAGAAGTCCTGAAAAAGGAAAACTTTCTATGAGAAAACATGACTAAGTACTCGTCTGGACTCATCACTAGATTCAAAGTGCGGGACGTCTCTTTGAAATTTCAACCTGTTAAGGCTCAAAAATGATGTTCACACTGAAAAAAAATTCTCGGCGTTTTAACCAAGGTCCGTTGGTACCTTTACCATCTCACTTTTTTTTATCAATTATTGGTAATTTTACCAAGACAGACTGGTAAGCTTACCTAAAAACCGGTATTTTTACTGTTTTTTTTTTCAGGTAAGAATACCACTGTCATTGGTAATCAATTCCCGGTAACTTTGCCATTTTATCTCGGTAATTCTACCACAGTCGATAAAAAAATATTCGCGTTTTTATCGGGGTCCAGTAAAATTACCTAGAAAGTCAATAATTTGACCGAGATTTCTCGGTAAAATTACCAATTCCATAAATGGTAATTTTACCAAGAAAAAACTGGGATCAAATAGAACCCTGAATTCTTGATAATTTTACCCTTTTCTTGATAAATACATCGAGATTTTTTTTTTTCAGTGTAATAAGTCTACATTATACGCTACTCCTAACGATCACGCCGCACAGTGACACTCAATTTTAATTCGTGTATGCAATGCATGATCGGGGCCTCGGACTCGGACCCAATTCGTGTGCCACCCTTGACGCCGCGGGACCCATTTCCAGTGGAATGGGTTTGGCGGGACCCAATTCGCATGCGCCGCCGGGGAAAACTAGAATCCCTTTATACTGAGAGTCAAGACAATTCGGCTCATGGATGTCACAAACGGGAATAAAGATTACAGAAATTGAACGTTTTTCGTAATCTTTGATCGGCCCATTCTCAAATGCCTTTCTCCGTTCCTCCTCTCATTCCGTTTGTTCCTTGCCGAACCCGCAATTCCATGGTCCATTCCAGATTATAATCTTTGCAATCGGTGAAAATGTAATCTTTATTCCCGTTTGTGACACTGTGGAGGCCTAAAATACGGGAACCAATCAGAAATGGATTCAAATTGTCTTGACTCTCAGTATAAAGGGACTCTAGGGAAAACTAAGGTGGGGAACGTTCAAGAGGATCGCGAATTTAAGAGATATATTCCAGTTCATCTACTATTCCGCCGTGCTAAGAAAGAACGCTGTCAGAACATTCGAGGGTTGCCAAAATTCCTGGGTAAAACATAGATTTTCTAGAAAAGTCATGCATATTTTTTCTCACAATTTTCGGATATTTTAGAATAAATTGCGTAAGAAATTGTCTGAACATCTTGAAGAAAATTATTCACAGAGGCGTAGGAAGGGAGGGGGCAAGGGGGCCTGCCCCCCCGAATTGGGAATAGTATTATCTGCCCCCCCCCCAAAAATTCTGGATGGTGCAAAAACACCTTCTTAAACGGTAAGTCTCTGTCGCCGTGGCCCGTGAGAGTATGCCTCTAAATAGAAAAACCTGTTGAATGCAACAATTTCAAAGTATTTTAACCATTAAAGCGCATAAAACTGGGTGATTTTTAGGCAGAAATTGAAGGAAGATTAGCCCCACAAGTTCCTCGAGATGCGCTCAAATAGAGTTAAAATTTCAAAAATTTTCCGGGGGAGGCCCCCCCCCCCAGCAAAATGACCTAGCTACGCCTATGATTATTCACAATTTTCCTGGTGAATTCCAATTCTATTGAAGGAAATATGGCAACTTCTGAAGGCTCATGCGGCGTTCTTCCTTGGTATGGCAGTATTTAACCTTAAATTTTTTAAAAAGAACCCTTTGACGTGTGTCCCCCATGACTTTTTCAGCGCCAAATCCGAATCTGAACCTTATTGCTACCCTAGAGTACATAGATGTAATTGGGAGAGCTGGCGCCACTTTTAAGCATTTTCCATGTCACGAATTCCGAGACTCCTGTGTGACGCCGGGTCACTTTCTCGATACATAATCGATTGTTTGCGATACACGGGTACCCGGCCATCCGATGACAACAACAACAACACAGGAGATAGGAATTACCACGTATTCCACACCGCCATTTTGGATCGAAAATGTATCGAAAAAGCGACCCGAACTCGGCGCACACCGGGCTCGGAATTCGTCGAGCAGAACATGGCGCCAGCTCTCCCATTTACATTACGACTCTATGTACTCTATGGACTTTTTCAGCGCCAAATCCGAATCTGAACCTTATTGCTACCTACCCTCGATTTTTCCCGGTAAAGCCGCACGGCTGCCGGTCGAGTCACTATCATGCTATTTGACCGCTTGATCCAGTGGATCTTCGGGATCCCGAAATCCGATGCGTTGGAAAATGCCTTCAAATTCTTTGGGCTCCCGGCTACCGCGTCCGATCAAGAAATCAACACGGCCTATCGGCGACTTCTCCTCCAGCATCATCCTGACAGAGGTGGCAGTGTGGAGGAATTTCATGTTGTTCAGGTCAATATGGCGGTTATAGCAGCGTCCAGAGACGAGATTTAATGGAACTATTGTGAAGTGATCAAAACATACCTCATACCGATTAAAAGTCTGGTTACTATTTTAGAGACTAATATTTTGTCCGTTGTTTTTGTAACGTAGCCGATTCGACAAACTGTTTCAATAACACCGAAGTCGTGATGCGGTTATCATGTAACTCAACTCAATATGGTTGTTACAGCACATCTGCTTCAAATGACTACATTATTCCGAAATAATCGTGTTATCTACCGTTGGAGAATAATTATGGTCTATTTCATGCTTGTATTTCCCGGACTGGTTGATATTTTTTAATAAATCTTTAAATTTGTAGTTCATTGAAATTTGTCAATTCCCCTAACTGATCCACTAACAATACGTAATTCATTATTGCTGATTTTCATGAGCGTGCAAATCAATATGGCCGTTCAAATGCGGCGACTATCGGCGACTTTGCCTCATACATCATCCTGACAGAGGTGGCAATGCGGAGAAATTCTTTGCTGTTCAGGAAAATATGGCGGTTATAGCCGCGTCGAGAGAGACCAAAAATTGATGGAACTATTGTAAAGTGATGTAGTGTAAGTAAGTGTGGGTGGTTACTATTTTAAAGACTAATATTTTGTCCGTTGTTTTTGTAACGTAGCCGATTCGACAAACTGTTTCAGTAACACCGAAGTCATGATGCGATTATCATGTCACTTAACTGAATATGGTTGTTAATCTTAAGTCTTAAATCCCCATCTTTAAAAACGTTCCCAAATCCCATTCTTTCCAAAAATCCTTGATAACTCGTTTCCTGTATGGCGGGCGGCAACATGAGTTATTTGAACATGAAAGTGCATTAAATTTTATTTGAGAAGCATGTGTTAAAGTTTTGAAAAAATGCGTTACTTAATCATCCAACAGGAAAGGCGGTTGAAATACTTTCATTTTTGCGGTTCGCTTTTTTCTGAGCCGTTTTTCGACAAAACTGGTTGCTACAGAAATTGAAGTAGACGAAAAATTCTATTAGAAGTAATCTAAGGTTTTGGATTAGTGATTGTTTCAACAGAAGTTTGGAGCGCTTGAAGTTCGAGACCTGCACGGCCGAAATCGGCGCACGGTGCCCCTGATTCAACTTTTAATCGACTCTCAATATACATCAAAAATTCAAGTTGAAGGTTGTTGGGGGTACTCCCTGATGGCTTTTTGGGCAATTTAGAAATACAGGATGTTGGATTTTTTAGCTAACGTGCGTAAAAAGTTCAGCTTGAAGCTGATATCTCATTACTGCGTATCTCTTTGAGGGAAACTCGTGCTTGTGTGCGAGCTTTTTCCCTCTGTAATGGGATCAGATTTAAGCTGAACTTTTACGCACGCTGGCGAAAAAATCCAAAATCCCATCTTATGACCCGTGCGTTTACCGCAATCAGTTTCTGTAATTTCGAAATAGGTCATCAAAGCTCCTGGAAAAATGATCGAACTTTGGTGGTTTTTTTAGGGGTAAAACAGCAAAATTGGCTTTGAGGCGACAAATTAAACTCCCCCTCCCTCATTCTTGCCTTGACCGACCTGTATTTTTAGTATGTTGTTACCTAGTATAAGATGCAACTATCCTGAAATTTTCATGTCCGTGCCGGTTTTTTTGGCGGACTCCAAAATGTCGAATCTGATGATCGATGATCTGTGTCCGTTTATTTCCAGTGGTTCCGCGGCTTATATTGTTAGGTCGTTTGACAGTAAAACCTTTTACAAGTACCGGGGAGTCAGCCCTATGACTCAACCCCCAACCTGGAGGACCAGGGTTTGATTTCGGAGTGGTCTCTCCTAGACAGGTTGCTTCCACTTCAGCTCAGAGCCCTGTCTGCCCTTCTAACAGGTGGTTCATACGCCCAGAGGCCGGTGACCATCTCCACTGCCCCCTTTAAGGCAGGGGCTACCAGCTGGGGTCCGCAGGATTGCTAAACATGTGCCAACAGTCCCCCATACGGTTCCTCGTGCCTCGTGCAAGGAACAAAATTAAATTCAATTTTTACCCGGTGCTCAAACGACATAAGTGACACAGATTGAAATTTGAGGTTTTCAGATAAAATGTCACTGATTCCCTATGGAAAATGCCGAGTTACGGCCCTTTCGAACTTACATTTCGTCCGTTATTTGGTCGTTTCTGCAATACAATTGCCGCAAAACACCCGAGCATGGCGCGCTTGAAACCTACATTCATACGGTGTGTACGCGCAATGCGTGAAGTATCCATGCAGTCTCGTAGGCGCTAATCAGTTCGCGCTGGACGCGCATTGCATGAAGTATCCATGCAGTCTTGTAGGCGCTGATACATGTTTCGCGCTAGCCGCACTGTGTTCGTGGAGTCAGCGTTTTTCAACACATGCTTTTGGAATGTTCGTACTCTGTATACGGATTATTGTCATTTAAAATGGTACAAAAATTAGGTACCTACAACAAGAACATATTATACTGCGTGTTTTGCAAATATTGATATAAGGTACTTCTGTGCACATTTACTTGTTATTCGCGTTTTCTAGGTGTTTCAGTTGTTTCGCCGCTCTGACGAGGGGTAAATTTTTTTTTTTGAAGTGTTCAATACATGTTTTCCCACTCAATTTTTCCTGCTGAAGCTGAATATGACCTCAGATTTTTTCTATAAATTACACATTTTTCGGAAAATGGATTTTTCTGGAAAAAAGTGTTTTCCAATGTAAAATCCCATATAAAAAAGATGGCTCTGTCGGCACGGGTTAATATTATCCGATTCGGCTGAAACTTGGCAGAGAGTGTTTTTTGATCAAATGTAACAGTTCTAGGGAGTAAGACCGAAAAATTCGCAAAATAAATTTTGCTGTGTATAATTGGGCCACCCTAATGGCGCGCGCAACGAGAGACACTGGGAGCAAAACGGGCTCGCCGTAGCAGCAACGCGCACGCGTCTTCTGCACTCACGGAAAAAAAAAATTGCTGATTCAACAATTCAATTGCTAAAAAACAGTGAGTGCAATGTTTCAACGCAGATTTTACAACAAAAAAATGCTACTTTAACCACACTGTAAACTAATTTAACCACGGGGGTGGTTAAAGTAGCATTTTTTTGTTGTAAAATCTGCGTTGAAACATTGCACTCACTGTTTTTTAGCAATTGAATTGTTGAATCAGCAATTTTTTTTCCGTGCTGCTTAAACGACATGCCGAACGCACGCACCAAGCTTACGCGGGCCCGAAAGTTCCCGTCCGTTGCAATGTATCAATATGAATTGACCTGGATACACTTTTACATTAAAAAACAGTCGGAACGTGTAAAAACATCAAAAAGACAAATTTTCTTAGTAAAATATTGGCTACAGTATGTAGGAAAATCACTTTCAACAAATTAAACAATTCAAAATAATCAACTAAATCAAATATTAAACAGTTTACTTAAAGGTTTAGAGTCTTAAAATGTTTATAAAACTTTTTTTTATTATAGTTGTGTATGATTTTGTCCGATGGAAATCACTCATCAAACATTCACTTAAGTTACGGAGCGCAACACTAGCTGCTGTAGGTACTCCCGTTAAAGCTGCGAAACTTCTTGAGGTCGGGCACCACTATTCGTGACTAACTTAAATTGTGCTGATGTGCAGGATCGACGTTAACCTTCTCGAGAAAATGGCTGCCAACCATATTTAAAATAGCCTGGAGTCTGAAAACGTGAAATTCATACTTTTCCATGAATAGAAAATGTTGATCCGTCTTAACTAACCTATATCTAATCGATGTAAGCATTGCGAATCATTCCAGTGAAAATGGGCGCACTAACGGATGACGTGAAACGTGCGGTGTTCGTGAAGCTGAACGAAGTCTTCAGGGATGACGTGGAAACCCTGGCTCGCGTACTCTATTACCTGGATCAAGAGGATGATGCTTACAGGCACGCCGAGAGGGTGCCCCCATTCTGGCGAACCTTGGTTAATGCGCTAGTGTCGGACGCGTTGTTCGCAACGTACGCTCGCCGGCTCGCCCAAGACACTCGCGGTGAGCAGGAGAACGAGGATTTCATGAGATACATTCGACGCCTCGGGCAAATTTACGATCGACACTTGACAGCCTCAGAAAGAGAGGCTGACATCAGCGACGTGCAAAGCTTGGATGTCCGACTACTGGCTGACATCGAGCTGGGACAAAGGGACGGCGCGGTCGGCTTCGCTCGCACCTGGGCGTTCATGACTCCGGAGAGCCAAGCAGAGGTGCTCAAATTCGCCAGGTTAGTAGCTGTGTCCAGAATTCCAGTTTGTACTACCTAACGCCTTGACCACACGGGAGCGGTTAGCGAAAGTTCGGGTCAACTTGTTCCCGGAATTGTTTGTATATAGCTCAGCTATAACTTATTCCGCGTGACCCCTGTTCGTCGATCTCTCTCACCCGAAGTTCCGCAAACTGCACTCGTGTGGACAAGGCCTAACAGGATGATAGAACCGTGCTGGACCCACATCATTCTGAAGGGAAATTAAATTCGGGAAAAAACGAAAATGGGAATCAGAATTGGACGTATATCTGCTAAAAGGGACATCATTCTGAGGGGAAATTAGATTCGGGAAAATACGAAAATGGACCACTAGACAAAGTACGAATTTAAGCGATCTGATACATGTTTTTTGGTCAAAATTTCACGTAGAACACGATTCACACGACGAAAATTACTGAAACCAACTCCCAACGAAGATATTAACGTTTTTATTTCACATTGGTTACGAGGAATTTGAACTGCCCGCTCACAAGAAACTCAAAGCTCTACGTGAGTCAAATCGCGCACTACAACGGTTTCAGCAAGCTTCTCAATCGAGCAATGTTCATTTCCCACCATGTGTTGTTCAAACTATTAGCAATTTGCTATAGCTGAGCCAAAGCGTCAAGATTGAAGTTGCCAGATTTTTATATCGCAGAGACTGTCATGATAACGTTTAGCGCGCGATGTGAATCACGCAGAGCATTGAGTTTTCATGAGCGGGTGGTTTGAATTCACGTATCAAGAATCATTAAATATCTCCGTAAGGAGTTGATTTCGGTAATTTTCATTGTGCGCATCGTATTCTGCGTGAAATTTTAGTTACGAAACATGTATCAGAATGCTTAAATTCGTACCTTGTCTAGTGGTCCATTGGAATCAGAATTAGACATATTTCTGATAAAAGGAACTAGACATGGGTGGGAAATATGGGGTGTGCTCTAGAAAGCTGTATAAGAAACAATGCAAAAGTGGACGTGATTTCTTTTGTACAAATGCAGGTCATCGCTGGTGACGTCACTGGCGCTTTATAATTCCTATTCATGTATACGGCCCTCAACTAACAAGCACACCCTTTCTTTCCTGTCTGTCTTTGGTTCCATTTAGCAGATGTACGTCCCGTTAGGATGAACTCTAAGTTTCGGTGGGGGGGGGGGGGGGGGGGGGGTCTGCTCCGCACCACCGAGGTAAAAATGAATCCTCCTCCGAAGACGAGTATCGTCCTTCGAGGACGAAGATTGAAAGGACGGAGAACAATTCGTCACCTTCCAGGCAAAGTATCACAAGCGCCGTGCGACGTTTAAAAATTTTCGCCGCCATTTTATTTTTTTACATAGAAATTATTGGTTGAATCTGTTCGAAAATTTCACTGAATTTTATGGACAGCACAAAAAAAATTCAGTGAAATTTTCGGACAACTACAACCAACTATTTCTCTGTAAAAAAATAAAATAGCGGTGGAAACTTTTAAACGTCGCATGGCGCTTGTGATACTTTGCCTGGAAGGTGACGAATTGATTTTTACTAGAGGCACTCTTTCAGTCTCTGTACTTTACACTATAGGTGGGTGTAAGTGGGTGAGCTGGCGCCACTTTTAAGCATTTTCCAGGTCCCGAACTCCGAGACTCCTGTGTGACGCCGGGTCACTTTTTCGATACATAATCGATTGTTTGCGATACACGGGTACCTGGCCATCTGATGTAAACAAAGAAGATAGGAATCACCACCACGTATTCCATACCGCCATTTTGGATCGAACATGTATCGAGGAAGTGACCCGAACTCGGCGCACACTGGGCTCGGTACTCGTCGAGTAGAACATGGCGCCAGCTCTCCCATTTACATTACGACTCTATGTACTCTATGCATGCAAGCCATTCGCAAATTTACGGTGGTTACTAATTGCCTGCGACACTTACAAAACATGCACGACGAGCACACTAGGAAATTCTTGAGTCGGTCCACTTCCTGTTGTTTACATCGGGCATTTCCAAAATTTTCGTGGTCATCGGCATCCGAAACTGTCAAGGAGAGAGAGGTATGAATGTAGAAGTGACCTTAAGCAAACAAACAATCTCGTGAGCTGTCAGCTGTTATCTATCTTGCTCAATGCTTTAGAGTATGATTTCAATCGTTTTAACTACTTGAGACCATATACAACTATTGAAGTCGTCCTGATGAGAGATTGATATCGTAAGATTCCACGATTGCATATTCAGGCTACGTATCCAAATAGAACTATCCAAATACCCAATCTCAGATTTTTAGTTTTTTTTTTTGTTTTTAGTTCGAGCTTAGTGTGTAATTTTCGGTTGATGAACTTTTTGCAAGAATTTCGATCGGACACTTGAGGGCCCAGAAGAATTCAAATAGGCCAAAAAAGGTCAAATATTTTTATTTTTTTTTATTGTTTTTTGTTAAAAAAAAAAACAATGTTTCAGAAGTTAATAAGGCTTCAATTACCGATGTTATGGAACATGCCCACAGGTCATTATGTGCGGACACGAGAGTGGCTGTTTGGGGAAACCTAGACGATGTGGTTGGCGTCCTGAGCAAGGTACGCGGTAATGTGGTGCTGGTGGCGCTGGCCATCGCTACCATCGCCTACGACGTCCAGCGCAATATCAGAAGATGGTGGCATGGTGAGATAAGCGGGAAAAGATGCTGCAAGAATATCGTAGACTCCGTGGTAAGTTTGGTCGGTGGTCTGGGCGGCGGGCTGGCCGGGGCGGTCATTGGTACTTTCGTTGCCGGTCCGGTCGGCGCTCTGGCCGGTGGCGCAGCCGGGGGTATAGTTGCCGGACGAGTTACTAACATGCTATCAGACCGCTTGACCCAGTGGATCTTCGGGCTCCCGAGAACCGAGGCGTTGGAAAATGCCTTCAACTTCTTTGGGGTCCCGGCTACCGCGTCCAATCACGAAATCAACACGGCCTATCGGCAACTTTGCCTCAGGCATCATCCTGACAGAGGTGGCAATGCGGAGGAATTTCATGTTGTTCAGGTCAATATGGCGGTTATAGCAGCGTCCAGAGACGAGATTATTGTGAAGTGATTAAAACATACCTCATACCGATTAAAAGTCTGGTTACTATTTTAGAGACTAATATTTTGTCCGTTGTTTTTGTAACGCAGCCGATTCGACAAACTGTTTCAATAACACCGAAGTCATGATGCGATTATCATGTAACTCAACTCAATATGGTTGTTACAGCACATCTGCTTCAAATGACTACATTATTCCGAAATAATCGTGTTATCTACCGTTGGAGAATAATTATTGTCTATTTCATGCTTGTATTTCCCGGACTGGTTGATATTTTTTAATAAATCTTTAAATTTGTAGTTCATTGAAATTTGTCAATTCCCCTAACTGATCCACTAACAATACGTAATTCATTATTGCTGATTTTCATGAGCGTGCAAATCAATATGGCCGTTCAAAATGCATCTGATTATTCTACTATTATATTTGCCAAGCACGTTCGAAAAAATAGATCAATGAATTGACGACACTCCTTAGAAAGCTTTTAAACAATAAACGAGAGTTTAGGAAATTTTCAAAAGTTTGAAGCGATTCTAAAACAAATCTTGTAAACCTGGTAGGCAAATTGTTTAGGTAAATTATCATGCACGTTAGGCTAGATTAGTTGAAGGCATTTCCATTGCCTCAATGGGACTGCATTTTGCAATTAGGAACTATAAATTCTGGCTCTTCTGAGAAAATACTTATGTGCATAGGGAAACTAATGGCACATACGTTGTTTTTAAACCGGGCCAGAATTTATGGTTCCAAATTGCAAAATACAGTCCAATTGGTCTTTCATTACAGCTTGATTAAACCAGTATGTCCAAATTGTTCACATTCTCCTATTCAGAACATTTAGCTACGGATACAAAATCTGGATTCACAAAATAAATAATAAGAAAAAAATAAAAAAACATCAATTTTTCAGCAATTTCGTAGGCCCAGGCGCCTCTGGGGCCTTAAAGCCGGTTTATATTTCCAGGACCTCCATTCACCACTATCATGCGTACGAGGACCTTTCTTTACTCTTACTTTCTCTTATTCTTTCGTTTATTTATGATTTTCCCGCATTTCTTCTCTCATCTTATTTTACTGGATCTGGCAGAGGGGCACGTCTTCGATGCGTCAGGGGGGCGTATCTGCTAATGATAAGTTGGCCTTATAGCCAGTCCGACTGCATGTGTCAGGTAGTTCATTTACATTTTTCTTTACTGAATTCTCGTTTACCACCGTGTTTCACAAAAATGTTACCGTTTTTTCATCGCAAGATTGTTAATCCAAAGGAGATATTTGCAAGAAATTTTTTACAAAAAGAACACTGACTTTAGAAAGACAGTGATGTTCCGGAAAAACCGTAATTTCACGGTACAGTTGACACTCGATCATCCAATACAATTTGTATGTCTGATAACAAAAATGTCGGCTAATCGAAATCATCACGACAATGATTCAAAATTGCCGTTTCAGGCTCTGTTTGCAACCAAATAGCACAAGCTTGGCAAATTTTCTATCGTATTTTTAAAACAAAGTCATTTAATTGAAAATGAATAAATAAGTCAATGAAAAAAAAACAACGCATAAATTCAATTTTTGCTCTAAAACGTGGTCTCCGTCCTGTCGTGTCCAAAAACGTCACGTTCTAGTAATGAGAAAATCGTGTCGGATGAAATTGGTGTTGCACTATCGAGAGTCGGGTGATCGAGATTCTTTTGTACATCGACCTTTTTTTTTTAAAAAAAAAAATTGCTTCCTTTTCTTAATTTTTTTTCTCAATGAGATAGTCATGCGATAGTGGGAGTTAAGTCATTAACAGTAGGTAAATCCAACACGTGGTGTTGGAAGAGCGCGCCTAAAGAATATCCCTATTACCATATTCCGTTCAGTTTTAAGCTTATTCCTGGCTACCAAACGAATCATAATCGCCCTAAAATCTTGAGGTTTTCTTCATTATTATACTCTTTTAATAAGTAATCCTAGGCTCTTTTGTACTCCAAATTGCCTACCTTTCTCGCACGTGGGCTAGGTTTTATTGAATGTTTACTCATGCTTTTACAAACCGAATGGTGTGAAAATATTGCATTTTATTTTTGAAAAAAATAACAATTTAATTGCATTCAATTACAATGTGCACTGAGAAAAAACTTCGATCATACGAACCGAATGTACGGTGTTCAATGTCAGGCGCATTGTTCAGTTCATGCGACCGCTTTCTCGGTTCTGGGTATCGTATCCTCAGTTCATGCAACCGAGCTTTCTCGTTAGTTCTGTTCAATACGTTAGTTCAATACCCGGTCACATGAACCGAGGATACGGTTTTCAGAACCAAGAGAGCGGTCGCATGAACCGAATGTACGGTGAACCGAAAAATACGGCCGATATTGAACACCGTACATTCGGTTTAAATGACCAAAGTTTTTTCTCAGGTCAGCAGGTATAGGTATAAATATAAGTCAATGGTGACTTTCAACTTTTTATCAATTAAAAAAGAATACAGGCACTGTAATTTTACAGTAGCATGAAACTCGTTGCAATCTGAAAACTCATTGTTCGCTCCGTTTTGGAAAGTGCATCTTTCTTTTTTATTTTGGATCGGAATATTCCAGTCGATCTAGCTTTTTACCTCGGACAAATTAGCACAAACTTTTCCTTTGGTATCTAGAGTCTCTAGGTACCCAGTAAGACATGAAAAAAAGTTAACCGAATAAATCCATCCGGAAAGTGGTCAAACCGCAGTTTTTGCAGTATAATAGCACATGAAAGCTAAAAATATGTTAATAAATGCATTTTTGAAGGTATATTTCAGTATACCTAGAGGTCAAGTTTTGAGACGTCAAAAATTTACGAATTTTTCGATGAAAAGGCTTTGTCTCGGGTTTGTGTGGTTTTTTGCGGCTGCAAACGATTTTTTTCATTAAACCATGATAAACATTTGAAAGCTAGTAAAATTTTATGTGAGAAATGTAAGTACTTTTATTTGTCTTTTTGGTGTCGCTCGTGAAAATGCGGAGGCGATGTTGAAAAAATTGCAATTTGCCCGAAAAAAAAATGTCTTTGCTTTACGTGACGTAACGCAGGCTTGTGTGAAATTCCTAATCTAAGTAGATAAGAAGGAAAATATTAAAAACATTAACCTTTTACTGCCCTTGGCATCTTGTCAGCCGAATTTGCGACAGTTCGTACATTATTTAATATTATTTACCTTCCCTGGTAAAAATTGGAGATAAGTGCTGCGTTTCAAAATACCATAGGAATTCTTATAGCCGGCTAAAGAAGGCTACAGAAAATCATGTAGCTTGCTGTAGAATGCGGAGAAAATCATACGGCCGGGCTATACGAAGCGATAAAAAATTATGCAAGCGGGCTATAGTTCCTATAGCCGGGCTTTACACTTTATCGCCTGGCTGTTGCTTTTTCGCCATCGATTATAAAAGACTATAAAAAATTGCGTAGAAATTCGTGTGCTTTGGAAGTCATTAAGTTTGATACGGAACCACCTTAATATTTACAAAACACACGTTATATTTTCCTTTAATACATATTTTATTCATCAATTAAAACGAGAATAATCCATACAGGATGTGCAAACATTACAAAATCATGAGTCGAATAACGCTGACTTGGCCAGATTAAATATTAGAGCCTAACACAAAGCGGAGCGGCGACGCGCTGGCGCCTACAAACCTAACAGGGATACTTCACGCATTGCGCAACGCGTGAAGTATCCCTGTTAGGTTTGTAGGCGCCGATGCGCGTCTCGCGCTCTCTGCCCGCCCGCCGCGCCGCAGCGTGCCACGGCGCCTGAAGCAACTATTTCACACCAGAGGTATTGCACAGTATCATACGAAACTGAAGGCGCTCTAATATATTAGGAATGGCAGGCATCCATCAAAAGTACGGAGCTTTCCTCGCAAAATAAATCAAGATACTAAGGCCCAAAAAGAGAGCAGTGGTCCAAGAACTCACTAAGTCCTAGCATCCGTAATTAGTGACGTTTAGCATACACTTTATCGCCTGGCTGTGAGTTGCTTAATCTCCATCGGCTATAAAAGGCTATAAGAAATTGTGTAGCCAGCTATAGAAGCTATTGAAAATCTAACAGCCGGCCGTGGGTCTATGGTGTTTTGGAACACAGATTCTACTGCCAATTTTTCAAACCTAGATTTAGTTGGAATCACTAATGTTTCAATTGTTTCGGAAACTGCATTTATGCGCCTTGTCCTCCAAGCCCTTCAATAACTTGTTTAGCCTTTTTTATTGCCTTCTAAGTTTTCAAACCTAAACCGACAAACTTTGGTCAAAATACGGGGTAATACACTCAGTGTCATGAATATCAGTCGAAAAACATATACTCTTATTTTAAAAAGTAAGGCCGCCACCTTTTCTCCACCATCTTGAATTTTGTTTTCGACTGAAAGTAATGTCAAACTTGAATTTACCAGGTCAAAATACCAGGATACACCGAGTTTCAAAAAAATCTGGCGATAAATAAGTAGTTTTCAAATTATGGCCACCATCTTTAATTTTAAAAGATTAAAGAAACAAGAAATAAGAGAGGAACCCGAAAAAAATTGCAACAAAAGATTTCCATACCCCAATGAACGCAAAAAAATCAGCTGAATCCGAAATTGACCAGCTCACCGCGCTGAGTCGTGTTTTTAAACCTCAAAACTCCTAAGAACCACCCCCCCCCCCAAAATTGAAAATTTTAAAACTTCCCTTAAAAACTTTAAAAATGCACCAAAATTGCGTATGGTCAAATCGATGAATGCAGAATAAGCCGGAGAATCTAAATTTGAGTAATTCACGGGGCGGAGCTTAAAATTTCACCCCTAAAACCCCCCGAAACAACCGCAAAGTTGAGAATGCTTTTAAAAGTTTGCGAGAATATTGCTCTAGCGTTTCATTAGTCCGATTTATTGCAGTGAGCTACCAAAAATATACAACTTTTTCCATTAAATAGACGTATCACATGAGAACCTATTTACGCGACATCCACAGAATCTGACGCGAAACATGCTAACTGGCCGGCATTAATTGATACGCGGCCCGGAACCTCTTTAGCTGATCGTGAGTGGCGCGGGATCTTTTCAAGACCGCTCTAGTGAGTCGAGAGGCTGGGGCCAGGGCCTCTCTAACATGCATTTTTGCAAAGGGTCGAAATACGTGATTGTGCATCAATATTCGTGATTTTTCACACTGAAACTGATTTTTATGTTGGCACATTATGCAGTTAACACTCAATATTCTCACTAAAAATTTTTGATTTTGTGCCAAGATTTGGAATCTGGGCCGTGAAAAGGGAATGAAAATGAGAGTTTTGAA